AAAAAAAACCAATTGGCTGGGCATGGTGGTGTGCACCTGCAGTCCTAGCTGCTCAGGAGGCTGAATTTGGAGGACTGCCTGAGCCAGCAGAGATTGCAGTGAGCTGAAATTATGCCTGGGTGACAGAATAAGACCCTATCTCAAAAAAGAAAAAAAAAAAAGATATCAAGCCTTGGGATGCATAATAAACATATACAGCAAATACTGAGCAAATATTTGTTGAAATGAATACAGCAAAGTTAGACATTTTTATTAAGCATTATTAGTAAATTATTCCATGTCATAGACTAGGTGTACAATATTGAAACGGAAAAGTCCAGCTGGGTGTGGCGGTTCCACACTAGTAAACTTAGCACTTTGGGAGGCTGAGGCAGGAGGATTACTTGAGCCCAGGCATTTGAGACTAACCTGAGCAACATAGCAAAACTCCATCTCTGTAAAAATGAAAAATTCAAAACAAAATTTTTTTTAATTCAAAAATTATCCAAGAGCGGTAGCGCACACCTGTAGTCTCAGCTACTCAGGAGGCTGACGTGAGATCACCTGAGCCCAGGAGGTAGAGGCTTCTGTGAGCCTTGATCGTGCCACTGCACTCCAGCCTGCGCGACAGAATAAGACTCGATCTCAAAAGAAAGAAGAGAAAAAAAATCCACAACTCCAGAACAATTATACAACCCTTATGAGCCTGATCCCAAAGGACCAAGAGCGCAATCAAGCCAGGCACAGGGGGTCATGCCTAAAATTCCAACCCTTCAGGAGGCCAAGATGGACAGACTGCATGAGCCCAGGAGTTTGAGACCAGAATGGGCAACAGGGCAAGAACCCCTCTCTACAAAAATACGTATCTATACAAAAATTAGCCAGGTGTGGTGCTGCACTCCTGTAGTCTCAGCTACTCAGGAGGCTGAGGTGGGAAGATCACCTGAGCCCAGAGGTAGAGGCTGAGATGAGCTGTGATGGTGACACTGCACTCTAGTCTGGACAACAGAGCGAGACCCTGTCTCAAAAAAAAACAAGAGCATAACCAACTGGCCACAAACTCTTAAATGCCCTTATTTTCCCCTCTCACCCCAATAGGTTCTCACAGTTCACAGCCTTCAAAGGCCTCTCCGTCCAACCAGGTAAATCTGGCATTACAATGAATACAAAACGAACCAATCACTAAGATTACCCAATCGTTTTGTACCCAGACCAGAAACTATCTGCCCAAAAAGAAGAGAAAAAAGCATCCCCTGAGCTACATTCCCACGACCCTGTGAATTAGGTAACTACCAAAAGGTCCTTTCTTCTATCCTACAACACAACATTCTGCCCTCACACAGCTCATGCTTGGATCCGATTTCTATGGTTTCTTGTAACCACATCACCCCAGCCCTTCCCCATCAATAATGTGTGCTTAAAGCATTCTGAGAGGAAACAATGAACAATGTTATGTGACAAGGGTTCTCCAACTGTGTATTACATTACAGAAATGTTGAATGTTTATTTAAAAGGATTATGAGGGTTTTGACCTTCCTAAGGCAAGAATTCAATTTTCTCCTTCAATCATGAAACTCAACAATTTAAAGATGGATAGGCTAGAGCCTTTCTTCCTTTTTCTTTCTTTCTTTTTTTTTTTTTTTTTTTTTGAGACAGAGTCTTGCTCTGTTGCCCAGGTTGGAACACAATGGCGCTATCTCAGCTCACTGCAACCTCCACCTCCCAGGTTCAAGCGATTCTCCTGCCTCAGCCTCCCGGGTAGCTGGGATTGTAGGCACCTGCTGCCACGACTGGCTAATTTCTGTATTTTTAGTAGAGACAGGGTTTCACCATGTTGGCCAAACTGGTCTCGAACTCCTGACCTCAGGTGAGCTATCTATTCCCCTTGGCCTCCCAAAGTGCTGGGATTACAGGCGTGAGCCACCACGCCCGCCTTTGTTTTTTTTTTTTTAATCCTGTTTGTTTTCATTTTCCTTCATTAGCTTCAGTGTCAAATGCTCCAGGTTTAGGTACAGTATGTTGGTGTTCATTTCCTTGAGGTAGGGTTGTGTTTCCATGGACACCAGGCAGCAGGCTGCAACACACTGGAGAGACCTTGTCAAGAATACTGACAGCCACAGGATCACCAAAAAATACCCCCAATCCACCCCTTCCTTTTACCTCTGCTGCTATGGCTGCCCAGCCCACACCGTCTTTACCTGGAACCCTCTCCAGCCCCTCTCCCTGCCGCCAGTACTGTCAGTTCTCTACTCGCCATCAGCCAGCGAGATCTCTTTTTTTTTTCTAATTGCATTTTAGGTTTTGGGGTACATGTGAAGAACATGCAAGATTGTTGCATAGGTACACACATGGCAGTGTGATTTGCTGCCTTCCTCCCCATCACCTACATCTGGCATTTCTCCCCATGCTCTCTCTCCCCAACTCCCCACCCCCCGCTGTCCCTCCCCTATTTCCCCCCAAAGAGAGATCTTTTTAATCACACAAATTGTGTCAGGTCACTCCCATGTCCTAACCTTCTAAGGGACTTCCAATTGCATTTAGCATGAAACTAAAACTATCCAGTCTCATCCTTCCAGCCTGGTCCCAGATATCTGCTCTCAACACAGCAGCCAGAGTGATCTAGGTAATGTAATTCCCCTGTCCAACACTCTGCGTGGCTGCCACCTCACTCAGAGCTGATGCCAGAGCCCTCACAGTGGCCTCCAACGCCCCACACAGGCCAGCAATCCATTACTCTCAGACCCCATCTGGTACCATTCCCATTCAAACCCTTCACTCCCCCAGGCCTGGAATGCTCTTCCCCCGTCCCCCAGTGCGGCTTATGTCCCCACCTTACTCCGGTCTTGGCTCCAATGCCATCTCCTCCTGAGGCTCCACTGATCACGCTCACACGGCATACTCCCCGCTCCCTCTCTCCCTCACTCGCTCTCCTGTTTTATTTTTTCCCCAGCACCTTGGCCACATCTGACATAATGTAAATATTACTGGCTCATTTACTGGTCCACAAGGATGCAGCTCCAAGAGGTCAGGGATTCCAATCTGCTCTCTGCACTTTTCTTTCCCAAGAACAGTGGGAAAATACTGTTCTCCCCAAACAGTGCTGGCACATCACAGGGCTTAGCAAAAGCTATGGAATGAGAGAAAGCACTGACTCCCACCTTCCCTGCCTACCTCCCTGCCCAGCCACAGTGACTTTCTCTCTGTTCCTCCCGCAGCCAAGCTCATGCCCACTTCAGCACATTGCACACTTCTGCCTGGAATGCTCTGTTGACAGCTACTCCAGCCCAGGCCCCCTCCTGTCAGATCTGAAAGTGTCTTGTTTATTCATGAAGCTACTTGTTTATTTCCTGTCTCTACCACTGAAGCAGAATCTCCAGAGCAGGGGCTCTGTGCTGTTCACAGAGGATTCTGTGGTGTTTGCAATGGGTTCAACAGTTAGTAGGTGCTCAGTAAATATCTGTTGGAGGTGCAACCAATCCAGCTTATGTGGGTCTCAGTTTTCTCAAATATAAAATAAAGAATGTGAGATTGGATGAGATAGTTTGCACTTATAATCACAGCACTTTGGGAGACCAAGGCAGGTTTAGAGGCCAGGAGTTTAAGACCAGCTTGGGAAACACACTGAGACCCCACCTCCACAAAAAATAAAAAATAAAAAAATTGTCGGTATAATGGTGCACACTTATCCTATGGTCTCAGCTTCTCTGGAGGCTGAGGCAGAATGACTGCTTGAACCCGGGTGGCTGGGGTTGCAGTGAGCAATGAGTACTATGCTCCAGCCTGGGCAACAGAGTGAAATCCTGTTTAAAATTATATATATATATACACGTATATGTATATGTATGCCATATGCTTGCCTTGGCCTCTCAACGTGCTGTGATTACAGTTGCAAACCACCTCATCCAGCCTCAGCATTCTTAGTTTATATTCGAGAAAACTGAGACCCACATAAGCTCAATCGGGACACATATATATAAATAAGAAAGCTGATACTCTAAGATACTCTCTAGCAAAGATACTCTCTAGGTCTCTTTGGGCTCTGAAATGTTGATGGTACATTCTTGCAACACAGTAGAGTTTACAAAGAGCCTTCATGTATAACAGCTCATGCAGAGCCCTGGAAGGTAATTAACACGATTGTAATCATTCAGTTTTTGCATCCGAAAAAAATTGCTGACTGTGCGACTGGTCCAAAGCGACAGCTGTTAACCGGCAGAGCTGAGGCTAAATCCACAGTTTTGTCAGTGCCGCTACAATGCTAGCAGAATTAAGCAGGATTTTCTAGTCCTTACAAATAGGTTCAAGACAATCACAAGTTTGCTGGTTTACTTCACACTAACCCAAAAAAGTACTTCATATGAACTTCCAATTGTTTTTCCGAGCTTTCCGCGAACTCGCTGGTCATTTGAGAACCAATAGTCAATCAATACAAACAGACTTACTGGCACGGGAATACCTGACCGTTGAACATCAAGATCTGTGAGGCAGGCATGTGAACCCCTGTTTTCAGCTCGCCGGGTGTGTGAAATGATGTCTGAGCGCCACCAGCCCGCCCGGGACGGAGCGCCTGGCAGCAGAGCCGGCGCGCTCAGGAAGAGAACGACTTTCTCAGGTTGTGGCCTGAGTGCAGAAATCTGCCCGAGTTCAGGAGGGCGCCTGGGAAACTCGGCCAATGAGCCCAGCTGAGACTCCAGGGTTCCTGTCCCCACCCGCCCTGGCCCGGGAGCGGCCGAAGCGCAAGGAGGGCAGGGGCAGCCCCGCGCTCCCGCAGACCCCCCCAGCCCCGGCCTGCCTCACCCGTAGGTGGTCAGCAGCGCCTTGTTGACCAGCACGATGAGGAAGGAGCAGGTCCCGTAGAAGAGCGCCGACAGCAGCCTGACCACCCGCGAGGGCAGCCGCGCCGCGCCGGGCTCCGCGCCCGCGCCCTCGGCCTCGGCCTGGCCGCCGGCAGTCATCTCCCGCTGCCGAGCGGACCCCACCGCCCGCCAGCCTCAGCAGCGCACTGGTCCCGCCCGGCCGGGCCGGGGAAGAGGGCGCGGCAGGAACAGGAAGAGCCCGGCGCAACCCCAGGTCCCGGCCCGCCCCCTGAGAGCGCCCCGAAGCCGGCGCTGGAGGCCCCTGCGCGCTGGGCTTCACCCTGGCTCCAGGCACCTCCTTCGGTCTTCAGGCCCAGAAACGCGTTGAAGAGTCGAAAAGCGCTGCCTTCTTCCAGACTTCCCTGGGGAGAAACGCTTCAGCAAGTCTCAGGGCTTGTTCTGCTTTTTTAATTTTTCCTACAGCTTTTTTGTTTAGCTTTTCATTGACGTACAATGAAATGTACACATCTTGCCAGTCCACAGTTTGAGATGAGCCTCGGCAAGGGCATCCACCCGAGCTAACTTCTGAAAGTTCTCTTCGCTGCCCCTTTGGAGTTAAACGCCCGCATCTCATCGCTATTGCTGTCAGTTAGGTTTGCCTTTTTCGCAATTTCAAATAAACAGGGTGCTTTCTAGAATTTATGAATGAGCATGTGCTCTCAGGGTTTTTTTTTCTTTTTTTTTTTTTTTTTTTTTTTTGGGGTTTTTTTTTTTTTTTTCTTTTTTTTTTTTTTTTTTTTGAGACGGAGTTTCACTCATGTTACCCAGGCTGGAGTGCAATGGCGCGATCTCGGCTCACCGCAACCTCCGCCTCCTGGGTTCAGGCAATTCTCCCGCCTCAGCCTCCTGAGTAGCTAGGATTACAGGCACGCACCACCATGCCCAGCTAATTTTTTGTATTTTTAGTAGAGACGGGGTTTCACCATGTTGACCAGGATGGTCTCGATCTCTTGACCTCGTGATCCACCCGCCTCGGCCTCCCAAAGTGCTGGGATTACAGGCTTGAGCCACCGCGCCCGGCCAGGGTTTTTCAGTCCATGTGTTAGATTCGCCCATGTGGTTTGTTTCATTGTTGAGCAGTATCACAAATTGTGTATCCATTGGTTGTTTCCAGCTTAGGACCATTAGGAAAAATGCTCCCAGGAAAATTCGTGAACGTTTGTGGGACCTGTGTTTTCATTTCTCTTCAATAAGTATCTAGGAGTGGCGTGGCTGAGAGTAAGGTGAGTGAAGCCTTGGGACTTGGGTGTCCGCTAGGTGCTTTGTGGGAGGTCCACTCCTCACGGAGGGCCCTTTGCCTTTGCGCCAGGTCAGTTGAAGAACTTCTCAGAACTGCCTAGTCTCGTCTTTAAAAATATAAACTTATAGCTTCTTAGAAAACTTGAATATTCCAAGTTAAATAAAAGTTGGGGCCTAACTGCATAGACGCGCAGAGAATTGTTTTTCTAAGGCACTGAACAACGAGGAGAATGAAAACTGAGAAACATTTTCAGCCCTGATAAGAACTAAAGCAGAACGTGTAAAAATAGCACTGAAAAGACCAGAACCCAAGTTACCGAAAACAAGAAAGAAAAAAAAAAAGACATGTAAGTCCATTTTAAGAGAAAACGAATTCCTATTAAAGTTGAACAGTCATTTTGGTTAATTTCCTCAGAACATTCAATGTTCTTGTGAGTCCCCAAATGTTTCGACTGCAAAAAGAATATTTTAAAGTCACCTTTAATGATGGCCTTCATCATAATTGCATTTGATTTGCTTGTATACACATGCTTCCAGGACCTTACTTGTCAAAATCTCATCCTTACTAACTGTTCAAACCGCGGCTCACACTGAGGAGTTGCTTGTGATATTCTGCTGCACAAGGGTAGGACAGACTGACCCTTGCTATTGCGAATACATAACTAAAGATCTACCAGAAATAACTGATGAAAAAAGAAAGAAAAATACACAGGCTTTAAGAGGATTCTTGAGGAGGTGACCCCAGAGTCAACCCATCCTAAATATAAGTCAAATGAAATCCCAGTTCCTTATTACCCTAGTTTAAGGCCTGGGGATGGGGTGGCAATAGTTTAATACTTATCCACAGCAGCAGTATGTTTTTAATACTATAGTAATGAACCAGATAAGGAAGTTAAACATCTATAATCTTAAAGGCCATAATTAAAGTAAGAAAAACAATTCACACTGTAATTACAACTATGCAAACATGTACTGAAATAATGCTGATGGATGAACATAAGACTGTTGGTGCTGTTGCTATCATTTAAAATTTTTCATATCATGGTTACTATATTTTTGATAGGAAAACAAATTATACAGGCTTTAAGAATTACCATGTACTTCAAATTTTAAATTAAAATAAATTTTTATTCAAAGCATCCTTTAAAATTACAGCATGTTTATTCTTATGCTGTTAACTCTGCCAAGCTACATCTTAGCCATATGAAGCATAAAACACTTCCAAAATTTGAATGTAAACCACATTTTTTAAAACAAAAAGCAGTCTTAACACACCTCAAATTTTAGATACCAATTTTATCCAAGTATATAGCTTATATCAAAAGAGAACATTTTAAATGTTTCTATAGCAAATAGTTGTAGTAATTTCTTAAACTGTTGTAATTATACAAATAAAACATGTTTATGAAAAACCTATTTGTTGACTAAAGCTGAGTGGAGAAACAAAGAAAACCCTTACTTTTGAAGGCCTTAAATGTTATCGTCTGTGAGTTGGCAAATATTTGTATTTGAAAACTTCTTACTACCCTTTAGTTAAGATGATCAAAGTTTAAATTTCCTAAGACTGATGAGTGTTGTTTTTAGTTCATTAAATCACGTATTTGAGAAGAAAACTTCTAGAGGAAATGCTGAAACATAAACCAAGGCAATTCAGATGCTATAGTCTCTCTTACCAGCTTGTAAGTGCTCCAAATTAAAATTCTATATACCACATTAAAAACAAAATTCTTAGACCATTACAAATATAAATTCTCTTATTTAAAAAAAAAATCCCTAAAGATTTGTAATTTACTGTACAGAGGAATTACATTTTTAAAGTATGTCCTCGTCATACACATTATTTGTACTATCATATCTCCTTTCATACTTTTTCTCCTCTTCCAAGACATTGACATGCCTCCCCTTCCCCAAGGCTACATATTTTAAACTATCTGTGTACTGTGACACATTGGGATTTTTGGATAAAGAAGCCTACTTTCTAATGTTTAAACTACATCTGTAGGAACCCTTTCAACTCAAAAAAGCTAAAAAGGCACTGAAGAGCCCATATTTCCCTCTACTACTATGAGTTTTACTCCAATTAAGCAATCTGTAAATTACCATGCTATGCATGTCAAAAGCCAAAATGATGGAAGTTTTTGCCTACATAAAGGAGGTGGTCTGCTCAGCTCTTGATTTTTCTGTTCATGCTCCAGTACATAAAGTGGTGTTTAACTTTATTTAGAAAAATGGCTTAAAACCACCATACAAGTTAACACACTTGCAGTTAAAACTATTTCAGAAGCCTACTTATTTGAGTAGCTAATATTTTCTGCAGTGTTTAACTGATAGCTAAATTTAGTGAACATAAAATAGCTTGGCATGTTACTCTGAAGTAAAGCAAGAAAGTGGCTTTATGCACTGAAAATATAAATATGGAGGCTTCAATTTTCTAATAATTCTAAAGAAGCAGTACAATTAAAATGTAGTGTTTGCTAACAAAAGATCTAAAACATTTCACTACAAAACAACCCTGTAGGTGTCCCTTTAGTAAAAATCCAAGTGCCAAATCTCATTACAGGGCCCTTAATGTTACTTTTAAAATTAACAATCACTATGTTACCTAGACTTTGCAAGATTAATCACTCAATTTCAGCCAATAAGAAATATGAAATGTGCAAAAGTTCCCAAGTTAACATGCTAGGGATGACAAGCGCTTTTCAAACTTAAACATTATACTGAGTTGTAAAGCCCCAGAAAGATAGAATAAGACTGATTTTGCTCCAATTTCAAAAATTCTGAACTATTGTGCATCTTACCAAGATCTTCAAATATCTATTTTCTTCTAAGTCCATTACTTAGAACATCTTCCAAAATAGCCTTCCATTTCTCTAGCCTTAGTGGGCGCAGTATTTTGCAATTTAAAATTATCTATCTTACATATCTTATACTTTCTTGCTTGCTTCAGTGTTTACAGTATTGTTAAACATACCAATATACATTGTTAAAAATGATCTTATAAATAATCTGTTTCAACCTTCTTTGGTTATTTGTACCATTCCGTTTTTTATGCAAGTGTCTTATTCAGAAAGTGCTTCCTGTGAGAACTACTTCCAATGAATGCATTAAACTTGCAAAATCTAGCTTCCCACAATCTGTCGTTTTCTACCCTGTACTGTGCAGTCCATATTTACAAAATATTTTAAACTTTACATCAAATCTATTTCCATATAAAAAAAGTGCATTTCTCTCTCACCCCATATTCTGGGGCAATAACATTCTTCATAAATTTCTACAGAATAGCAGCCTATGATAAGCAAATAAGGTGCTGAGCTTATGCCCAAGGATCTACTTTTTAAGTACACTGGGCAGTAATTCTGTACAGTGGAACAGTCAGTGTCCAGGCTACTGTCGGAGTGGCGCCCCAGTCAGGTTGGCAAGCTCTATGAGCGCGAGGGCTCCATGCAGGCGCTCCCGCTGCTCTTGCAGCCGGCGCTGGGCCCCCCTCTTCTCGTCGTCCTCTTCATCAGACTGAAGGTATTCCAGAGGGTCCTGCTGCTCCTGATCAGCCTTCTGAACCAGCTTGCTTTTCAAGGTGGGAGTGCGCTGCTCTCTCATTTCCCAATACCTATGTGAAATGCAGCTGAATTAGTTACATGGCAGACATGAAATGCCAAATGTTTACTTTTCTTTTAAAAAAGTTCTGTACCACAATATTACTTTTATGTGATTCAGTTTATAAAGTTATAAAGTGATTTAACATACATTTCTTATTTATAGAGGAAAGAAACTGAAGTTCAACAAGGTTAAGAGATGTGCTCAGGTTTCTATAATAAACCTGGCAGTTCTAGATCTTCTACTCACTCTCAAATCACGTTTTTGCCATTAAACTATTGCTACCTTAAAGATCCTGTGTGAAATGGACTAGAGTAAAATATAGAAATAGTAGAAAAAACAGTCTTTAGAAACTTATTTATCCTATCCCCAGAGGGATGGTAACTGACAGCGTTAACTCTGTAAAGTATTAGAGTCACAGACTATGACAAAGTGATTAAGATCTGGGACAGAGTTTATTCAAAAACTTGAAAACACTACCCTTATTCTACTACAAAGCCAACTGATAATTTACAAGAGAAAATGCAAATATTCAACTCTTTGGTAACTTAAAAAATGCATATTTAAATGACAGTAACATAACATACAAAAAAAAAAAGCCTTGTATGTTAATATTCATAGTAGCTTTATATGTAATAGCCAAAAATAACCCAAATGCCCATCAACAAGTAAATGAATAAACAAACTACTTTTGTATAAAACTACTATTTTACAGTGACAGCAGATCGGTGTTGTTTGAAGAGAAGGGGAACAGGGAGGAATGTGTGGTTCAGGTCACAGGGGGGCATGAGGAAACTTGGAAATGATGGATATGTTCACCATCTTGATTGTGGAGATGGTTTCACAGTATATACATATGTCAAAATGTATCAAACTGTACACTTTAAAATGTGTCAAACCATATACTTTAAAATGTATCAAATTGTACACTTTAAATGTAGCATAATCTCTTATATGTCACTTATATACCAACAAAGCGGTTATTTATTTATTTATTGAGACAGAGTCTCACTCCGTCACCGAGGCCGGAGTGCAGAGGCGCAATCTCGGCTCACCTCAACTTCCGCCTCCTGGGTTCACGTGATTCTCGTGCCTCAGCCTCCTGAGTAGCTGGGATTACAGGCGCCCGCCATCATACCCAGCTAACTTTGTATGTTTAGTAGAGACGGGGTTTCTCTATATTGGCCAGGCTGGTCTCCAACTCCTGACCTCTGGTGATCTGCCCACCTCAGCCTCCCAAAGTGCTAGGATTACAGCCATGAGCCACCGCGCCTGGCCTGTATTTTTAGTAGAGATGGGGTCTTGCCATTTAGCCAGTCTGATCTCGAACTCCTGACCTCAAGTGACCCACCCACCTCAACCAAAGTGTTGGGAGTACAGGCGTGAGCCACCACACCAGCCCCAACAAAGCTGTTTTTAAAAATTACACACAAAAAATAATAATACAACTACCAGATTTCAGGAAACCCAGACTACTCAAAGTAGAAAAGTTTTGGCAGTGCCCACAGAGGTCTAAAAAAAGAAGTGCAAATCGTTCAGTATGACTTGAAGGATGACTAGAAAAGGAGAATAGCAAAAGATAAGTTCAGCCAAGTCAGCAGGAACCAGGTAATGAAGGGCTTTGAATTCCGTAATAAAGGGCTTAGCCTTTAGGCTGAGGATCATACTGACATTTTAGAAAGATCCCTCTGGCAGCAGCATGAAAAACGGATTGAGAGCATTCAAGTGGCTAAATTTGAGTTACTAAGGAGGTAGATGTCATAACTTTGTCACTGAGTAGACAGGAAAAAGACAAGGAGGCCAGGTGCAGTGGCTCATGCCTGTAATCCCAACATTCTGGGAGGCCAAGGTGGGAGAATCACTTGACCCCAGGAGTTTGAGACTAGTGTGGGAACGTGGCAAGACCCTGTCTCTACAAAAAACTTAAAAATTAGGTGGGCATGATGGCACACATCTGTGGTCCCAGCTACTCAAGAGGCTAAAGTGGAGGTTCACTTGAATCCAGGACGTCGAGGCTCCAGTGAGCTAATAGTCCTGCTACTACAGTCCAGCCGCAACAAGAGTAAGACCTTGTCTCAAAAAAAAAAAAAAGAAAGAAAGAAAGAAAGACAAGGATGACCAGTAAGCTTCTGGCTTGAACAAAATTAGAAATAATGGGGCAGTAGGAGCCAACCAGGAGAAAGAGGAAGGAAGTGATGGAGATATTTAGTTTAAGGTACCCCTAGAATATCCCACCTAAACAGACAAGTTCTATGACAAGTGCTAACAAATTTTCCTGGACTTGAATAATCAAATAGTATTTCCAGATTCCATTATCTAATTCTTATGTATTTTTATCCAAACGAAACAGAGTGTATTTCTTCAAATATTTATCAAGGCCCATAAGCTATGCGTCCTAGGCTTACAGCAATAAACAAGACAAATATCCCTGCCCCGGGAAGCTTCCAGTCTGGCAGGGAAGGCAGACAATGAACAAATAAAACTGTGATGGATGTTTTTAAAAGGAAAAGGAAAGCATCTGATAAGTGGGTCCCAGGCCGTTTGTTTCAGGAGTTGGTGAGCAGGTCAGCGAAGGCTCCCTGAGTAAGAGATGAAGGTGAGCAAGAGGCTAAGTCAAGTGGCGAAGTGCTCCAGGCAGAGGGAGCAGGGTGCACATGGGCCTTGGAAAAAATTAAATTGGTATCTTTGGAACCTCAGCTAAAGAGAACCACTAACATCTATCCCTGGTTTTTTTTGAGACAGGGTCTCAGTCTGTCACCCTGGCTGGAGGGTAGGAGTGGAGTGGGGCCATCTCGGCTCACTGCAACCTCCACCTCCCAGGCTCTACCGATTCTCCTGCCTCAGTCTCCCAAGTAGCTGGGATTCTAGGCATGCACCACTACTGCCCAGCTAATTTTTGTATTTTTAGCAAAGACGGGGTTTCCCTATGTTGGCCAGGCTGGTCTAGAACTCCTGACCTCAAGTCATCCACCTGCTTCAGCCCCCTAAACTGCTGAGATTACAGGTGTGAGCTACTGTGCCCCGCTGTCTATCCCTGTTTTAATTGGCACACAGCTGATGCTAACAAAAGAAAATGAAGAGGGGTAGCATTCATGACAAATGAAACATAATACACATAAAACATTCTTTCAAAATGGGAAAACTCTTCCTTTTAAAATAAACTGTGGTCTGGGCACTCTAATTATATTGTAATTTTCTGTCACACACAGATTCTAAGATGCTAATAGAACTCATAACAATTTTATAGAAAACCAGAGGTCATTTCTAATTACGTTACAAAACGTATATAGATACAGCTTATTTAAAATGACAGGAGTGCCCAAGTCCCTAACATAGCCCAAGCCCACGCTACGCATCTTTGTGACAGACTGAAGGCAGCATTCCTGACCTTGCCAGCCACTCGGCCGCGGCCTTGTTGTCGGCAGCCTGATGCTTGCTGAGTGTGTCCGTGGGCTCCTCTCTCTTCAGCCTGGCATACGGGTGCTTCGGACAGTGGCGGTTTGCATGGGTGAATCTGCTCAAGCAGCCTTCAAAACACAAGGTTAGCACCTGTCAGGATCTGGACATCCAGCACACAGACATGTGGACAACATTCAGTTTCAATGGTATCCAGAAAGGTACATTAACACGGTGAAATTTAGGATCTATAATTTGGAGGAGAAAACAACCAAACCAGCCTTAGCACAGTCTCATCAATGCCAAAGCAGGGAAGGAAGACAGTCACATTTTGGTCATGGCCATGTGTGTTCAACACCACAGAAAGTGGTTTATTAGCAATGAATTCAAAATGTTCAAAATGGCAGGGCATGGTAGCTTATGCCTGTAATCCGAGAACTTTGGGAGGCTGAGGTGGGTGAATCACTTGAGGTCAGGACTTAAGAGACCAACCTGAAAGGCCGGGCG